CATTTTCATTTTCCTCTACGACAAAAACCTTTTCAAAAATATATTTACAATTTTACTAAATGCACGAGCATAAAAACTGAATAAATACAACAGCAAAAATATGGTGGTGGTTCACTTATACATAAAAATACCGAAGATGCAATCAACTGAAAGTTGCATTCATTCAACCATTTGATGTTCTCCTTTGGGAATATATTTTTATGTCTCACTGAAAATTTGCCTCAGTATTCTAAAAGTGAAATGTGAACGTTTTTAGGATGCTTGGGGATGGTGCAACAAGAAAGAAATGGTTACAGTTATTGGGATTCCAAGAAGTTATAAAAATATTATATATATTTATTATAAAAATACTGAGTAGCTGTTGAAATATATTGACTTAGGACTATAAAATATTTTATTTTGACCCATCCAAAATGTACGACATTGGAGATGTAATCGCGCGCATCAGTTGGATGAAAATAAAGCCCTCTGCTTTCCCCTTGTCTAGCTTCACCCAACATATGAGATAGACTGTGACATGCATAGTCCCCTTTATTTAAATGTCCTTGGGTACCATAGACCACCTAGACTGGCTTATAGAGCGACTTTGGTGAAAACACTTTGGAGCCTGATTTGGAGCCCAGCGCTCAGTCGTGTCCTAACATTTGACGTGTATGCATCGCTGTGATTTCGATAATTTGACGTTTTATCATGGGCAAATATATTGTAAAATATTGTATAAATATAAGTGATCGAGTTGGTGAAGAGAGGCGAAAAGTTTCCTTCTGTAGGTAAGTAAAAAAAAAGGAATATATAAAAGGTAAATATGTACGCCATCTTTCGGTTGACGTCACAAGTTTCCAGGGTTAGCTTTATAATTTTGTTCGCCCACATAGTGTAGTGATTAACGTGATATTGTTATCATAAAATAATGAATGAATTACTGTAAAATACTTTTAGTAATTATTTACTTTATGTGAGTCTCAAATTTTTATGAAATGTTACCAATTCCCGTCATTTCGAGATAGCTGAAAATTAATTAAATATGTTTTTCAATTGAAAAAATCGCAAACAAAACTAATTTCAGATTCATGTTCAGCACCCTAGAAAAAGAGAGTTGGCAAAATGTGATTAGAAAAATTAGAGTTTTGTGACATAAAAAAAATAAATAAGTACTTCACGATTTTTTACGATTTTTCAAACCTAATATTTAAATTTTTACAGATTTACAACGAATATTGACATAAAACGAAGATGGGTGACGGCTATAAAAAACAGGACTGGACACTAGTAAGTACATCATAGTATATATTGGCGGTTTCGTAACAAGTTCTCTAATAAAGCCAATAAAATGTGAAGACTGTGTAAATAGTTTAATGTCAAATATATACCTAGTATTCGTACAGTCAATTAATTTTTATTAAAGATCGTGGTTGTTTGACGTTCCATCTCGAGATGTCGTAGTAATATGCCAAGAAACAGAAAAATTAATAAAAATTTTTAATAATGGTGAAAGCAGAACACCTAGGCTACAGAAAAATAAAATTGTTTATCATGTATTAAAAAACTTTCTAAATGTGAACATATTTGAAAATTTGCATGAACATCAATTTGATAATTTGCCTAACAATTAATTGTAATCATTTAATAGAACTTGTAAGGGCTGAATGTGAAAAGTATATCGATGTACAAATAAATCATGAAGTCAAATTATTTAATTCGGTAAAATCTACGAAAAGACAAATATTAAATAAATTAATATTATTTAGAGGACAATAAATATATTTAAATTATTTTGTAGTTTTATTTAATATGACATTAAAATTTTCTGAATTACAAACTTAAAATTGAATATTTGTCATAAGATGCAATATAATGTTTAATATGTAATAAGAATATTACTTAATCCGGATCTGCTTAAAGATGCGCGCGATCAGATTGCCTTCCACACTCCACTTCCCCAGATTTTGCATTCACTTGTACCCGTGCATTGGAATTAGATACGGCCAGTCTAGGTGGTCTGTGGGTATAACTGACCGACGTTTCTAGTGTACATGTTACAATTTATATATTTGTGACAGTAAATTAATGATTATTATAAATCTACCTAACTGTTTTTCATGCGTATTGCTGCTATTATTTCAGTAGATTTTTTGATAAAATATAATTCGCAAAGTAGTTTTCTAATCCGCATGTAAAATTACATAATTTACAAATTTTAACCAGAAACAATAACTAAAATTAAATAGTGTGGCCATTCCCTTGGTTAGAATTTGGAAATCATCCTCGTTATTCTTCTTCTTGGTATTTTAAACATAAAAAATAAAAACCCTTAATAACCTATAATATTTTTAAATGGGTAGGTACATTTTCAATGTCCTGGAGTAGGCAAGCTGGGACATTTTTTTAACAATTAAAAATAGTGAATTTTAAAAAAAAAAATTATGAAATATACGATCTGACTTGATAGTGTGGAAGTTCTGACCTCTTTCGTTGATTGAAAGGTGATTCGGAGAAAGTTCGAGAAAATCTATTCGAGATATAGAACCAAAAAAAAAATACTATCTAATGCTGACTGGAATTACAAACACATCAAAGTTCGGATGTAGGGAAACGAAATTAAAGATAAGGAAGGTATATAAAATGAAAGCCTTTCGAAAATCGTTCAATTCATTTTTTGAGATGAAGTGTACCGTCTATCTCCTCGCCATCCTAGGCTTCTGTCTGGCTCAGTCCTCTTCCGAAGTAATTGTTACCAAGTTCCGTTTTCTTCCGAGGGTTTCTTGTCGCTGTTGTTCCAAACTGTTTCCATTTACCAGGTCTTGGAGCCCCTCTACGTTGTCGTTGAGCCCATAAGGAAAGCCGTCGACCTTCCCGGACCTAGGATCATCGGTGGATACGAGGTGGAACCCAATTCTGTTCCGTACCAAGTAGCTGTGGTTATAAACGGTAACAACCTCTGCGGGGGATCTCTCATATCCACCACGAGAGTGTTGTCAGCCGCACATTGCACAGTCATGTAAGTAACTGCTACTGTCTGGACGAATATGATAATTGTAAAAATATGGCAGCTGAAACGACGTCTCTCAAATAAAAAAAAAACTCCTTTTCAGCGCTGCCTTCGTAGAACTACGATTCGGCTCCCACTACCACAACCAAAACGAACCCACCCAGGTACGTCTTACCAGCACCAGCTTCATAAACCACGAACGCTATGACGGGTCGACAATCGAAAACGACATTTCGGTGATCTTGCTGCCCTCCCCGGTGGCTCCCACCGCCGCCATCCAGGTCGTACCCCTCGCTCCCTCCACGGCACCTGATTTCCAAGGCAGGCCCGCCTATATGACGGGCTGGGGACTCACCGAGACTTTTCAACTCTCACCCTTCCTGAGAGGGGTCAATCTAACCATTATTTCTAACGATGAATTCCGCAGTTTCTTTAATATCGTGAGAGATTCTACTCTATGCACTTCTGGAATCCCGATTCCGGAAAGAATTATGGGACGACAGTGATTCGTTTTTTATTCCTTAAGTCCACATGGTGGCGCTGCGGCATGCAACAGCGATTCCGGAGGCCCTCTCGTCGCCGACGGCGTTCAAGTGGGTGTGGTGTCATTCAGTGCACCAGGTTGCGAGGTAGGATTGCCCACGGGATTTGCTAGGGTCAGCGCCTATAGGGATTGGATCCGGACCAACGCCGAAGTGTGAATTTTGATATGTGGAAATATAAGAAGCCATAAATAAAGTTTTATTTGCAAACGTTGCTTGATCTGTCTTTATAATCAGTTGGCTTCATACATACACAACCCCAGAAAAAAAAAATTGAAGTAATTAAATTATCTAACCTTCCTGCTCAACGGGGAAACCCAATTAGAGTAGGAGAGAGCGAACCCTACAAATGTAGTAAAAAAAATCGTTAATAAACAATTTGAAAAAAAACGAAAAATTTGATTTTGTGATTTTTTTTTTATTTTTTTGCCTCTAGTTTTTTAGAGTAAAGATAGGTATAGTCATTGCTTCATAGAAAAAAAAGTAGATAAAATTTCCTTCAAAATAAGGGGTTGTAAATTATTTTTGGATGAAAATTAACTGATATAATGGCCATTCAAACTAAGGATTTTCATCGCATGACTTGTTCGAAGGGTTATTAAAAATGAAAAAATCGCGGGGTGCTATTAAATTAGAGGGTTTAAATTGAAGATAGGGGTGAAAATGCACTTTCGCAGTTTTTTAAATATAGCACGAAAACGAAGCAAAATTTCGGTATAGTTCATAGGAAAACTTTTGTAGAGAATTGAATTTCCCATCGAAATGGCTTATTTAAAAAATTTAAAAGGAAAATTTTATGCAAAAAATCGTTAATAAACAATTTGAAAAAAAGCAAAAATAAGATTTTTTTATTTTTTTTATTTCTTTGACTCTAATTTTTTTTTAGTATAAGTAGACAAAGAAAATTGCTATACAAAAGAAACTAGATGAGATTCTCTTCAAAATGATGCTTTTCAACAGTTTTTGTACTAATATTGACTGAGTTATAACAGGTCAAACTTAAATATTTTTTTAGATTTTCGTCGTTTTTAACATAATAATGATAATAATTCTTATTATTCTTTCAACAAATTGGTTCTTTATTTAATAAAAAATTATTTTAAAAGTTTTATTTGTTAAAAATAAATAAAGATTTTTGAAACTTAGTCAAAACAGTAAAAAAAACAAAAAATCTTATATTTTGCTTTTTATAAAATTGTTTACTATTGATTTTTTGCATAAATTTTTTCTTTTAAATTCTTTAAATAAGCCTTTTCAATGGGAAATTCAATTCTCTAAATAATTTTTCCTATGAACTATAGCGAAATCTTGCTTCGTTTTCGAGCTACAATTAAAAAACTGAAAGGGGTGCATTTTCACCCTTATCTTCAATTTCCACCATCTAATTTAATAGCCCTCCGCGGTTTCAGGTAATAAAATTGCTTGAACGTCATAATTTCTTTTAACCCTGTTTTTTTAAGTTTTGTTGTCTATTTCATTATACCATCAAATAAAGTGTTATTTGATTTTTAGGAAGGAAAGGTAGATTTAATATGTCTATAGTAGTCCGTTTTTGTTTGTCGTTGTCCTTTGATTTTGAAAATAGCCAGGTTTAAAATTTTTTGACTTGGTAGTTGCAGTGCAGTGTAGTAAGTTGTTTTACAGATTGGTTTTTAGTTACTAATAATTAAATTCCTTTAGTCACTAGTGAAATAAAATATTTTATAACCTAAATAAAGAAAACAACATTAAACAATGAACTATTTGTTTGTATTTATATTAAAAAGGAAAGTTGCGTTGCAAATTTGGATTAGTTTATCAAAACGCAAGATGGTTCATTTTGTTCGTGAAACATCAATCTATTAATATTATATTTTGGCGATTGTGAAGCTTGTGGATATTTTGTGAACATTTTTGAAAAAATAATTGTTTGATAAAACATTGTCAATTTAAAAAAATGAATAAAAAAAGTGAAAAATTACTTATTACACTGATTTTCAGCAAAACGACAAATTTAAACATTCCGGGCACCAGGTAAAAAAATCGCAGTGTTTTGAAGTGAAAGTTACAGACAATATTCTTAGTTTATTCGTTATTTGCAGTTATGCCAATTTATTCAAATATCGACTGCAATTTTTTACCTTTTTTCTAACCACCATTTTCAATTTGAAAAAATGTTTGTTATCAAAAACCCATAATTACGACTTGTAGAGAATACTTTGCAGTTTTCAAAACCCTGCTTGGATTTTCTGTACGACTATTATTTCCCGAGTAATTCATTGCCAAAGTCAAAAATAATTTATTTGATTTGATCGACGATAACTCTGCGCCAATCATCCTACAGGGCTCCAGAACCACTCAAATTGAAGAGAATTAATCTAAAAGAGCTTTATGGTGAAATTCCCCAGAAAAAATTTTGGAGCCCAAAGGCCTTTTTAAAGAAAAGCAAAAATTTATCATTTTTTTCGTTGATTTTCTTATGTTTACTCAAAAACTGCTAATGCTAAAAAATTTTAAACTCCAGATCCGAAAACTAGAAACTTGAAGCTTCAATTTCCTCTTTTTTATTCTCTCCACGACCATTTCCCTCCAAATTCACCCAAAATTTTGGGACCAAGACTAAAAGTTGCTACTAGGGAAATATATTATTATTTCTACATTTTACTTACGGTTGTTTCATCAGGTAGCGTAATAAATAAATATTAATAGAACAAACTTATTTATAAAAAAAATACAAAACTTCTAGAAAAAAAATTACATTTTTAAACGACAGTGTGAACTTAATACAACTGAGAACAGGTTATAAAACCAATTATAACTCAATTACTGGCTTTATTAAACAAAAAATAAATAAATTTTAAGTAAATTGAATAGCCGAGATAAAACTGCTATTTGATATATGTACTTCTTATTGCACATTGATATTCGAAAATAAATTAATATAAAATCTATTTCTGTGTAATCATCAATTCATATAAAAATAATAATACGCATAAAGAGTTTTACGCATCTTTTTTTCAATTGTATTTCTACTTTAGTCCAAAAACCATGCATTTATTCATTTGAAGTGCTCTCTTCTGTAGATTTAATCGATGCAAACTATCACTGTTATCAGTTACATAACAGTCTGGTTTTCAAGTGAGCAGTTGATCTATAAATAAAAATGACTACGAAGAACTACACTTCATTCATTTTCGGGGATTTTACTTTTCGCGTAGTTTTGTAACAATTATCCGACGTGTAAAATTAGCGAAGGTAGAATGCCAAAGTCGAACTCTTCAGTTCGAAGGTCACATTTATAACTGTATTAAGAACCATAAAAAGGGAGATAGGACTTTTGTTGGACGTTAATCTAGAAATGGATTTAGAATTGCTGCCTTTTCCATTTCTAATCATACCATTCAAAAGTGATCTACCGACGATTTGTCCTATGGCATACAGTCAAGAAGAGTTTCAAAATCACTTTTTTCGATTTTCTCGTTAAAAACGCCTTTCCCAATTTACTTTGCTGTTTCAGAAGCACAACTGTTTACGCGAAAAGTTCGGTGGGGTTTTCATTATTTGGTGACTTATTAACTCACGACGACTTATCCTAAATCCGCTCGTATTACGTACCCAATTATATCTCAGACGGTTGACATACATCAAGTACTCAAAGTAAGCCTTTGATCAACTAAAAAGGATTTATGAACAGATAACTGTAATCGCTAGCAAAGTAAATAGTTTAGGTAATTTGTATCGAACTAAAAACTCACTTATAGCTGTTTTACATTGACAATTTATCGATGAATAAGTTCTTCATGAATTAATTCACGAATTTATTGGTAAACAGTGTGGTTTTACACTGCTACAGACTTGTCAAGTTTTTTGACGCATGAATCAGTTCTACCAATGAATCAAAGAGGGAAATAAATTTCAAAAATGTCACCTTTCCACTCATAATTGTAGTGATACAACAGCGGTACCGTTCTGACACATATTATATAAATATTAGTTTTTGTAANAATCATATTTTTAATTTTTTTTTAACAAATATGAATTTTTTATATACCTATAAAAATTGTTTGAAAAATATAGTCTGAAATAAAAAATAAGGGTAGCAACCCCCAAACACGAAAACACTAATGAAACAACTGGTTTTTTATAAGAAGTAATTTTGCATTTTGATTCGTTCCAAAATATTGATGAGAACCCCAGATATTTAGAAAAATCTGTTTTGAGCAGGGGCGAACTTTGAAGATGTATTTCACCCCTAAACATGTTTTTCCGCCGATAAAAAAAAATACGTCTTTTAATTTTTTTTTGTTTTGTGTGGTTTTTCCCCAAATTCATGCTCAATAAATTAACTTTAGTAGCAAACTGTTGTCATAAAGCATTAATAAGTTTTAATTGTGATGGTTTCGTTCTGCCGGTAGTCGTAGTCTGTTGTTATGAAACATGAAACAAGTACCTACAACGTAGTGCGCAAACTCGTAAATAACGGGTACGTACAACATAAAATAGCGGCCGTGTTCCGTTTCATTTTATTACAATTAAATAACATGTCTGTTTGACGGATACTTATATTATTACGGCATGTTATTTACAAATGTTATTTCTAACATAACATTTTAACGTAAATGGGATACATACTCGGCCTGATTAGCAGCAGCCATCTCTTCATAGGTTTGTTAGGCCCATATACAAAGCTATGGGCCTGCTTACATCCTCCGGTTTTGTCCTCAAATCTATGGGAGAGTCTGATAATTTTGATACGAGCTCTAGACTTTATAAGTTTACAAGTGACAGAAACGTGATTAATTTACGATTTTGCAGATTATAAACTTCCGGTTTAAGAAATGTATACTGATTATTTTAAGCCTGTCAACTCTACGTACGTAATTGTAAAATCTACAAAACCGTAATCCCCATATGTAAGAAATTTTCCATATTCGTATACAAAACTGCGTAATTTACTACAAAGTATGATCCGAAAAAATAACTAAAAATAAATATTCGAATATCATTTCCTCCTATTGTATTTTAAGCAAAGCTTGATATTTGCTAGTCTTTTCGACTACACTTTAGGATTTAGATATAAAATTAATCGAAACAGCATGTCGGAGTAACTTTAGATCATGCACAACAATTCTTTAAATTGACTGTATAATGCGCATGAAAATGTACGTTTTACTTTCCTGTTTAATTTTAATCCATGCAAATTTAGACTGTCCAGAATCGTTGATTTCAATCAATTTGTCTGCAGGTACTATACATGTACATGTACTTATGCCCCCTATTGAAAACTTTTATTCAAATAGTGCTAAAACTAATGTGCTTCAGTATTCCCTTTCGTATTTATGTAATGTGCCGCACAATAATTCTCAAGAAGAATTTATCGATATACCTATTTTTTGCCATATGTAGTCAAAAAAAGAAAAATTGTCTTTTATTTCGTACTTACGACTATTTCAAACATCACAGTCTTTTTTGTACTTTAAAAAACGTACCTACTCTTTATTAGTCTTTTTCTACTTACTTTTTTCTAAAAAAAAAAATCACATCAAACACATAAACACCAGAATAGCTTAGCAGTCCAGACGGTATCTGTTTCAGAGTTCATATTTGGGTAAATCGTATATCCAAGGGGATTTTTGGCTTTCAAATATCACTAGAATTAAAAAATTTTCTATGCGCATCAAAAAAACGTGGGCTTAACTTTTGGCGGCACAATATGTTAAAAAAATTCGAAAAATGTCATATTTTTCTTCCTATTTAATTATGTATCTTTTCAAGAGTTGATTTTAGGCGAAAATGGAAGAGGAAAAAAATGTTTGCAATTAATTTTTTTACAAAACATGTCTAGTTACAAATCGAATGAATCATGTTTATTATGGTAAAAATCGAAAAAATCGGAAAAATGGTTAAAAAACAATACTTTTTAGGGAATTTTTTTGAGGTTTTTAAATTGGGTATAGGACCTTCATACTTGGCTCAAGAAAAGTTCATGTTATGTAGAATCATCACACCAAATTTCATCAAAATCGGTTAGATAGATTTTGCATAATAATTTTGCAATCCAGATTTTGAAAAAAAATTGCAAATTTTCAAAAATTTGCACGGCAAAAAACAAGTCCCTTAGATTTAATCACATATAGAAGGGCCCTCAAGCTTTCAAACGCTTTTTGAAAAATTCGAATCCGTCAATTATTAGGAGAGCTCTGGCGCTTGTTTAAACATTGGTCGAATTTTTGTACTATAATTTTGTATTTTTGTAATATAATGAGTTAATTTCTCATTTGCTTATATTTAAAACAGTAAATAATATTTGAATTATACTTTAATCACAAAAGATGATGATTAAATTAATAATGAATGAATTAATTAATTAATTACTATTTTTCGACATATTTTGAAAATAATTGTTGTTTAAACAATTTTAGAATATTTAAATAAACCTGATTTTGAACTTTGATAAACTTTTAAAACCTGCTTTAAAAAATTTGATTTGATTGAATATTCACAAAGTTATTCTAATTGTTTATAAGTACAAAAATTCGACCAATGTTCAAACAAGCGGCAGAACTATTCTAATTGACGGATTCGAAATTTTCAAAAAGCGTTTGAAAGCTTGAGAGACCTTCTATATGTAATTAAAATTCCAAGTATCTAAGGGCCTTGGTTTCTGCTGTGCAAAATTTTGAAAATTTGCAATTTTTTTGAAAATCTGGATTGTAAAATTATTATGCAAAATCTATACAATCGATTTTGATGAAATTTGGTGTAATGATTCTACATAACATGAACTTTTCTTGAGCCGAGTATGAAGGTCCTATACCAACTTAAAAACCCCAAAAAAATAGTAATGTTTTTTAATCCCATATTTGGCGATTTTTTCGAGTTTTACAGTAATAATCATGATTCATTCGATATGTATCTAGTCATATTTTGTAAAATTTAATTACAAACATTTTTTTCTCTTCCATTTTCGCCTAAAATGAACTCTTGAAAAGATACAAAAATAAATAGGAAAAAAATAGACACTTTTCTAATTTTTTTAACATATTGTGCCGCCAAAAGTTAAGCCGACGTTTTTTTTTATGCGCATAGAAACATTTTTAATTCTAGTGATATTTGAAAGCCAAAAAGCCAAAAATATCGAATAAAAGAATGCTCTATGTAAGAAACCACAGGCGTACTACAAAAAGATTGAGGCGATCTATAGTTTCTGCAATTCCCCTTTCCTCCTGTGACACCCTGTATTTTGATAATGGGGCTCCAAAAAAAAAGATAATGATGGTGTGTTTATGCGTCTTCATTGTTAAATTTTTGTATGATATGAAAAATCATGTAAACAAAAGAAGAAGGTATTGATTTTATTGGTTCCTAAAGTAATTCTTACATCAATATCTGCACCTTATTTCAAATTAACTTCACGTTATAGTGAGATAATTTTTTATTACATATTTTTTTTACATTTCGTCTACACTGGACAACGTTAAAGTCATATTTATTTATAAAAACATAAATAATAACACCTTCTGTGCAAGCTTCAGAAGAAGGTGTTGATTTTTTCCGAAATAAGCCTGACGTTTTCTCCGAGCAGGACAGTGTTATGGTCTCCTTTTAACTTCACCAATTCCACGTCTTGATGGCAGACCTGAAAATTAAACACAGTAATATCATTTTAATGTAAAAAATCAAAACATCGTAAAAATTTGAAGTAGATATTGGAAATAGGTCATTACCTCGTGCAAATCGTAATCTTCGGAAGAAAGGACTTGGTCGCTGTTTCCCCTTACGAGTAATACTCTTCCATTAAACCTGCCTTTTGGCTGGTACGTAACGCCGGCTAAAAACCTTTTGTAGTACCCGTTGGCGGACACAGCCACGTCATCTACATCTAGCCCTGTTTCTTTTGATACCAATTCTGCGACGTACTTTAGTTGTTTCTCCCAGTCTCCCACCGCTTGTAACTGTTCTGAAAGCTAATAAATACGTTTATTATATTTTGTCCTGTTTTATTCAAGCAAAAACTTTCACTAAACTTAAGCCTTTGTGTAATTTTAATAAATAAACTAGGCTATTGAATATGCACTTTAGATAAGAACTACAACGTAACAGAAATTTTATTGTTTGATATGTTCAATTGACCCTAAAAAATGATAAAACTGCGGAGTGCTACCTTTTAAAGGAGTGCGTTTTTTGAGAACGAAGTAAAAAGGTGGTATTTTCAGTTTTTTGAGTTTTACTCGAAAACTATGAATTTTTTCTAAATAATTGTCAACAGAAAAGTTGTAGTAAATTGAATTTCCAATCGAAATGAGACCTTTTGAAGTCAAAAAAAATATTTTTAACAAAAATATGCCCAAAAAACGAGTAAAAAAAACGAAAAAATGTGTTTTTTTTTTCTTTTTGGTTTTTGGCCCACAACTTTTTTCTGAGAAGAGATACATTGGATCAAAGTTGGCTACTTTTTGGATTTTTGGCCAATTTTTGCCCTTTTTTGACAATTTTCATCTTATAACTTTTTTCTGAGTTAATTTAGGAATATGTAATGCCATATTCAAATGAAAGCTGGTTTCAAGACCTTTAAAATGGTGCCTGGTAGAATTTAACCAACGATACTTTTTCTTATTTTTATAAATTTTTTATTACTTTCGGTATTATTTTGTCTAATAAATTTATTTTTGTGAATGTGAAAGTTAAAATAAGTTTCTAGGTGATTGGATATTATTATTTATTTATTTAAACAACAGTTAATCATATATATCTTATAAATTTTCAGTTTCATTTAGTATATTTTCAATATTAATATCAATTTCGTCGTCATCATTTTCATCAATGTCCTCTTCAGAAAAATCAGGCTCATAAGCATTCTCACAATTTATTCCCCCACATTCTTTGCAGAACATTGAACATTTTATTCCCAACTTTCGGCAGC